GCCCGATTGTGTTCTCATCATTTTAATTACGAATCGTTCAAAAACATAAATGAATTCAAATGTGGATTCGCAAGCGGTTATTCCTGAAGGAGGGCTCAGTAACTTACTTACGCAGTGTATATGGATCAGCTTCCTCCTATGAATCACAACCTGTAAGTATTATTAATAATTGTTGCTTTTATGGTTTTGAACGGTTTTTGTAGCGTCGGGGCGCGAGGAGGGAAGGCGCAATAAGTATGTGTGTGCGCTTGTGTGTATGTGTGTGTAAATTACGCTCAGCGCAGCTTCTAGGTCTCCAATGTCAATTTGTTTTAAATATGTGAAATGTTTGTCGCTGTTATTGGAGTTGTCATAAAGAATAGAGCGTCTTGTAGTACTGCAGTGCTTTATCAATATGTTTGTGCGTTATGCTAACAAACAATAACTGACTGGGTCTGTCATCTGACCAATCACCGCCGATTAGCGTCACGCAAAGGAGTGGTTTGGAAAAATGAGTCGTTGTACGAATCATTTGGAAATCGGTGAGCAAATCAGTTAAAAATATTATAAGACAAATAAAATGTTTTTTATCCTTGCATGCATGTTAAACTGTTTTTGGGAACTCGTAAAACAAAAATAGGAACATTTCAAATGCTATGATAGGGGCTCTTTAATGATTTTTAAAAGATAGAAAGATGATGCTGATAGATAGATAGATAGATAGATAGATAGATAGATAGATAGATAGATAGATAGATAGATAGATAGTTTGAATATGATTTAAATGTAAATAGATATAAAATGTATATAATTAAAATGTAAAATGCTTAAAATTCCAGATTAAAATTACTGGCCAAAATCCATGAAAATCCTGAAATTTGGCAATGATAATTAATATATTACAGGTATTTATGTTGCAACCCAGAAAGCTTTTGCTAGCTTTGGTCCATTAAAACCACTATTCATCAGCATGCATTGATTAATACCATGGCATGTAGCGAAAAAAAAAAAAAAAAAAAAGGTGCGACCAAATCATATGCTGGTGCGACCAAATCATATGCTGGTGCGACCAACTGAGAAAGTTGGTAGCACCAGTGCAACCAGTGGAAAAGTTAGTCTGGAGCCCTGCAGTTCTTATTAGTTCTGGATTACAATTTGGCTGGACTCTTTAGCTAAAAATACCCAACAGGTCTTTTTTTACAGCATGTTAAAATTGTCACTTTTTGGGGGTGAGCAAAAAACACACCATTCTTTTGTCTTGTATTTGTTTTAAATGCAAATGAGCTGGTGCTCCCGGCCCCCTTTCAAGAAGTGGGCGGAGCTTCGAGAGCTCATTAAAACAGTATCGTACAATAATATCGTGCACTGAAAATGTCAGAAACTGTCATTAGCGGTGTTCCGTTCAAACCGGATTTAGACAAAGATGCCTACAGAACCAGAGAATATATGGAGATAGAACAGGTATTTAGTTTAATTAGTTATTGACTGTGGTCATCTTGCTTTAATCCACTATTAGTACAAGCCTGTTTTAGTGGACACCGGCCGAATGATGTGCAAAACTTAAACTGATGGGTTTGAAGTTATTGTACATAAAAGATGAAGTGTCCATTTTCATTCCAGCAAATCACCATAGAGCTGAAAACACCATACAAGAAGTGCACAACAAAGTCTCATCCACATTCTATACCTCTTTCTCTCTTGCTTTATTGTCAACATACACAGCGAATTACACATAAAAACTCGTTACAACTAAAAGTAGACAAATATATACAAACCTTATGCGTTTTGATGCTTAATAAACTGGTAAACTTTATATCCAACACCTCCAATGAACTGTAATAAAGTCCTTGCTCTCCCTTTTTTACTGCCGTGACCAGTATCTATCCAGAAACTTTAATCTGTAACACCAACAGTTGGTACTGATCCATCCTCGAGTAACAACTTCCAACTAAGCAAAACCGGTTTTGTATTGTCCCATTGTATTGACCCTCGTTCACAAAGCAGTCTGGTGTAAAATGATTTGCGCAGACAGAAACAAATTTAGGTATATGGGGGTGCATTCCCTTAAAAACTAAAACGAATCCACTGTGTCTTCAGTGGCTCTGATGTTGGGAGTAAACTAAGACTTGTTTTGTTCACTCTTACATCCAACAACAAAACACCTTGCTTTTTTTGCAGTTCTGAGTTGCTTTTGAGACATTCTTGTCACTACAAAGTTTCTCTATGTCGTGTTAAGAAGAGGGGGGTTAAACCCTCTTAAATCTTAGTTTTTTGGAGTATGTGCCATTGTTACAGAAATCGGCCTGTACTAATGTGAAGATGGCCCTTTTCAATACAAGATCTATTAGTAACAAAGCATTTTTAATGAATGATCTTATCTCTTCATGAGATTTAGACTTTTTTTTAATGACTGAATTTTACAGTGATTGTAACTGGATGTCCCTCTCTGAAGCATCACCTAGAGACTATAATTATCTGAACTCTCCAAGGAATGGGGGGCGGAGTGGGATTACGGAAATTAAGAATTGTTTTAAATGCAGGCTGTTTACAGAGGATAAGTTTGTTAGTTTTGAGGTGCAAGATTTTGTCTTTTATCTAGAGATTTTATCTTCTACGATTACTCGTTGTGATAGCTTTGTTATTAGGTGATTTTAATATTCGTATTTGCTGCCCTGAGAAGTACTTGGTACAAGATTTTTTTCTTTTTATAACAGCAGGAGCATACTGTTGATTTGGTTTTGTCCTGGGGTGTACCGGGTGGTGAGCTGACTATTAAGAACATGGGGCTCTCAGATCATTTTGTTATTATATCTAATGTCACATTTGCTGGGCTCCCTATTGACCCTGTGTCAGTTGACCGTCGAGCTCGAGCTATTAATGCTTGTTCTGCCTCTTAAAGGGGTGATGAACTGAGAAATCAAATTTTCCTTGAACTTTTGACATCTAAGAGGTCATCATATTATAAGAATATCCTGTAATTTTCAGAACTGAAAACGTCCCTGTTAGTCCAATAAAAGCTTTTATCGACACCAGGCTCAGCAAACGACTCGTTTTTCAAAGTGGGGAACTATGACGTCAAAGAGGATAAAACACCACCCCCCGCAGAAGATGATCAACGCCTACTTCAACACGGCCAGACACGGAACGTCATAAGTTAGACCACAATATAAAAATTTTTAAAAAGCCAGTTCATGACCCCTTTAAGTTTTCTGACCAGTACTCTGCCCTTATGCCAGTTATTGAGTGCAATCCATCTATTCGGGGTTTAGAGGAGCTGTTATCTGATTTCAATTTGGGCTATAATCATATTTTGGATTGGATTGCCTCCTGGAAACGGGTAAAATAAAAAAACTGTATCTCTGCCCAGGTGCAATGATGAGAGTCGACTGCTTAGACAAAAACAGAGGCAGGCACAGAGGATATGGAAGATAGATAGACTACAGGTCTGAGATGCTTAGAGAGTGTATGGTGTCTTGTCAATAATTTGTCAAAGCGGCTAAGGCGCGACATTTCTCCGATTTAATCTCTAAGAATCAGTACAGTCCTAAAATATTATTTTGTGTGATTTAATACAGTTTTAAATTCTGCATGCCCTATTGGTTTCGATTATTCAGACAGAACTTGTGACAATTTTTTTGCAGTTTTTTTTATGGATAAAATCTCTGCTGTTAGAGCATCAGAGATTGCTTATTAGGGCCCAAGCCCTGAAAGGGCGAAGGCCCTATTGTTTTCCTTAAGATTCTTATTAGGGCCCAAGCCCTGAAAGGGCGAAGGCCCTATTGTTTTCCTAAGGGTTCTTATTAGGGCCCAAGCCCTGAAAGGGGGCAGAGCGCTATTGTTTTCCTTGGGATTATTAGGGCCCAAGCCCTGAAAGGGCGAAGGCCCTATTGTTTTCCTAAGGGTTCTTATTAGGGCCCAAGCCCTGAAAGGGGGCAGAGCGCTATTGTTTTCCTTGGGATTATTAGGGCCCAAGCCCTGAAAGGGCGAAGGCCCTATTGTTTTCCTTGGGATTATTTATTATTAGGGCCCAAGCCCTGAAAGGGCGAAGGCCCTATTGTTTTCCTTAGGATTATTTCTTCTTCTTCTTCTTCTTCTTCTTCTTACGTATTATTATTATTCTGCTAACTTTTGGGCACTTTTGGGGCCCTTAACATTGCATGAAACTCGTCAGACACATCACATTTATCAGCCAGTAGACGTGCTAAGTTTCAGAAATGGGCGTGGTGTGTGGCTAAGTAGCGCCACCTATTGACAAAAGTGAGAGGGTTGGTTTCATAGTTTTCCCTGCAATCATAAAACTAGGTACGTAAAATGTTCGGATCAAGCTGGGCAACTTTCTATTGACTGTAATGTCATTAGCTCCGAACAAAAGGAAGTCAGATATTTCAGGTTGAATGTGGATGTTTTGGATTAATCTCTCTTCCTTCTTTCCCTCTCTCTGCGTGCCTCTGTGTCTGTGGAGGAGGGGGATGTGTCTATTAGAGTGAGAATGCTTTTGTTGCTGGTGTCTGTGTTTATATGTGTGTGTGTGTGTGTGTGTGTGTGTGTGTGTGGCTGGCTGTAGATTTTTCCTGCAAGTCCTTGTCTTTTTGCATAACAATTTTGTATTTTTTTTAAATGACAAAATATGCATATAACCCCCATCTTTTAAATGTATAGTTTGCTTTAAATAAAAGTAAGATAAATTTGTAAACTACAAATTGGAAATTGAATCTGAAAGAATTAAAAATTCATGTGCTATATTTTTCAATATATATGTTTTCCTTAATTTTAAAACACTAACCTCATTCTCAGTTAAAGCGAGGTTACATTTTTGCACGTCTTGCAGAATAACCCTAAAGGCACACAAATATATATATATATATATATATATATATATATATATATTATATATATAAATATATATTTATATATATATATATATATCGATGAAGGGCCAAAGCCTGCGGTACCGCCACCCCGGTGTTGCGGTGCCACCGGCTTGGGCCCGCAATCGCTGCTCGCAGCTATATTTATCCTTGCAGCACATTAAATTAAGTATAATATTAATTTAATTTAAAAAGTAGCCTAATAATAATTTAATGCATTAATTGGAAATGCCAAATCCTCTACATTTTCTAGACCATTGACTAGCTTTGACCCTCTGAACAGTGATTTTATTTTGCTTGCACCATTGAACAATGGGATTCACGTGGATCTCTCTCCAAATTGCAGCGAAGCTGACAGCTCACATCAGGAATTATCTTCTTCTGAATGAGTGACACTTGTCTGCTCAGTTACCTGGCCTCCATCTGCAATTTCTGTTTTTTTGTTTTTTACGTTCAATATGTTGGATAAGAAGTGCTAATCCAACGTATTGAGGCGCTAATCCATTTTGTCCAATCATTTAGTTTTCCCTGTAATCTTACTTACGCAATAAACTAAGTAACCTATTGTTCTTATTTTGTTTTGCTGCCCCCTATCAACGTACATATAAATACATATTAAACAAATTTTAAATCTGAAACTCCATGACTACAATAGATGGTGCAATTGTTTATGTGTCTAACATTGATCTAGATAAATGTGCACTATTATTAAAGTGAGCGGCCATGTCAAGTGGTTAAAGTAGTTAAACTACTACAATTTAGATTTCCTACCCGATATAATTACTACATGGACAACCGTGTGAACGATTTATCCGTGCATGACTTTGTCACTTCCTGTGGAGCCTTTTCTGTTCTATGATCAATCGACTAATTGAAATTTTGCCGACCAAGCCTTTTCTCATCAAAGTAACGCTTGTTCAACCATTAAGGGTACAGTCATAGTCATTTTACTGTTTCCAGGATTGTCATCATGTTCTTTAACGTTACGGTTTCATTACAGATCATAGACCCTCATATGCCACGTGTGGGGTGCCAGCACAATGGAGTCTCTATCCCAATGCCCCCGCTGAATGTGCTACGGATCGGAGAACAGTTGCAGTACAAGTCCGAAGAGAAACTTTACCTTGTTCTCTTCTTTGACAACAAACGTAGCTGGTAAGATTTTTAGAGGTTATTTGAAATTATTCATTATGAAAAGTAACACATTATTAGTGTTTGGCCATTGCACACTGAGTACGAAATTTTCGTATGTGTTTTCGTGTTCGTCAGCCTAAAAATTTGTCACGCACAGAAACCTTGCACAATGAGTGCGATGCGCATTTATTAAACCTTTGCGGAAACCCCCCCGCAAAATTACTAAATGGATTCGTCAAGCAGTGAGGATGATTTTGTTGCCCTCTCTCTTATTGAAAAGAGATAAAGAGAGGTAACACTTTATTTCGATAGTCCACTTTATACATTCTACTTACTATAAGTAACTTTTCAACTACATGTCAACTAACTGTCATTAGAGTATTAGTAGATTGTCAGCTTAATATCTGCTAACACTTTATTTTGTTGGTCCCCCAACAGACATTCAACTGACTATAAGCAACTTGGCGACTACAAGTAAACTTATCCTCCTAACCCAAAGCCTAACACATAACCTTAACCTGACAGTCTACTATAATATGCTAATACTTTAATGAGAGTTAGTTGGCATGTAGTTGAAAAGTTACTTATAATTAGTAGAATGTCTAAAGTGACTATCAAAATAAAGTGTAAGCGAAAGGGAATATATTGGGTCCATCCAATCCCGAAATTGCGTCGAGAGGAAGCACCTCCTTATCAAGGAATTGCGAATTTATACGATTTCAAAATTATAGCGATTCAAAATTTACACACACACACACACACGGCCCGGCGATGCGCTGGGCAGACAGAACAGTTGTACGTTATAGGCTACAGGTTATATATTGTACCCACTTTAGTTATCGAATTGGCTGCTCAATCACACCTTAATCGATTTGAAATTTCAATCTGATTGAAAGGGGAGGTTTATTCCTTTCGAGAGAACATATAAACACTTGATCGAATTGAAAAACCAAAACTGAAAGCATGTGGAATGATGTGCGGAATGAGCTACCCCCGGCCCTGAATTGTCAAAATGCTGGCTGTGGATGCGAAAAACGCAGAAAATTGAACCCGATCCGATTTTTTTAATGACGAACGAAAGTTTCGGAGGCAGTGTGCAAGCGTGATTGACATAACGTAAGGTCTAATTTTTTTTAACGTGCGAAAATTTCGGATGCGAATTTCGGACTCTGTGTGCAATGGCCTTAACTCTTAAAGTGGTTTCAGTTACTTAATCATTATCGGACAACAGTGTGTCAGTTCATATATCTAGCTTTTACTGTGGTAGAGTGATCCAATCACTGAGTTGTTAGCTTTTTTCATAATTTGTACAGAATTTAAAAAAAAAACCTAAAAGGCTGAACCAGGGGCGTAGCCAGTATTGGGCAAGGGCGGCACTGGCCCACCCACACTACTCACTGGCCCGCCCAGGCAAGTTTGATAAAAATACATTTTTAGTTTATTTTTATAATTCAAATGTATTTAAGAAAATATATTAATATATACCTGATTTATTGTTGACTGCTGTGTATTTTTAATTCGTTTTGCCGAATAAAATGCAACTGTCGAAGCAAGTTGTAGAAAGCCTCCCTCTGGAACGTTATTGGTTGCTATGGTTGCTGGGAGTTCCTATAGGAAAACTCTCGGCGGTGCCATAATAATGGCTAAACAACTTTCTTTAATGTGCTATTTGGAAAAAGCGAGAGTTGAGGAAGAAGACACGCCACTGCCTTCAACTATCGAGTCCACCCAGCCAGTTCTTCAGACTCATTAACCCACAAGAAGACTAGTCAGGTGCTGGTGGCGGCCGCTTCTCTCTCCCGGTCTGCCTGACGCGGGTTTACCCGCCGATCTAACTGCGATATTATTATTTTAGCTTACTTTATTTTCGGGTGGACTGTCTTTGCACTGCTGACTAGCCTGAATAAAATAGACAAGTTATTGTCTACACACTGGTTTGTCCAGCCTTTATTGAGCTCTGTTGGTTGAACATGATGATTTGCCGAATATAAAGGTGTTACTGTTTTTGCAGTTTGTCTATTAATTTTTCTACTTTCTAAAGTTAATTATTATTGAAGTATTTTTTTTTTCCTATGAAAACCTAGGCCCACTCACATTTTCACTGGCCCACACAAAATACAATTTCTGCCTACGCCACTTGGCTGAACATGCAACTTCATTAAAGCACAAAAATAATAAAAAGGCAAGGAAATAACTTGTGTCTGGGGAAGTTTTATAAAATAGGATGGTGTGTGCTGTTTCCTTTTTCCAGGCAGTGGCTTTCTAAATCCAAGATGTTTCCTCTCGGTATTGACAAAACCATCGACAAGATTAAGATGATGGAGGGACGCACCTCAGCCATCCGCAAAGCTGTTCAGACCGCATTCAACCGTGCCATGAACCATCTGACCCATGTCCAAGATGAACCTGTTAGTGACCTCAGTGACATTGATTAAGACTGGCAAATGCATGCACATTTCAAAGCCTTAGTAACTGTTATTCCTGACTGGCACCTGCTGTGTGACTTCTGTGGTTTCTGCTACTCTATATCTTCCACTCCAGTCTCATTTCCACAGAAGTCAATTCTGTAAATAATGTAAATTACTTAACACTAACTTAAAGCTGAAGATTTACAATAATGGGTACTGTACATACATTTTTATAGTATTTATACTTTTTAGTGAATTATACTGTGTAATTACATAATTACTCATCGATGCTGGAACAAATGAACAAAATGAATCAAGGAAAAAATAGAGAAAAATTGTGTGATCAGGGCTGAAACATAATGTGAGTATGCTTGCTTTTTTATGTTTAAATTATTGAAGTTTTTACACAGACTTTTATTTGGCATTAAATTTTTTTTATAATCTAAGAATGTTTTTACAACAGTTTTAACATATTTTGATGTATTTATATAACTGTATTTGTCTGTTTTTCACATTAGAGGGTCTTGTTGTTTTGAAGCCACAAGTGCGTTATTCTAAAATTCTAATGAAACCAAAAGAAATGCTGCCCCGACTTCTTTGTTTCAACTGTATGTTTTTATTTTTTTAAGTTTTGTATTTTTTGTTTGTGGGAACTATAATTTCTGTAGGATGTTGTACTTGTAGGATGTGTTAATTTATTGGGGGTGGGGGGAATAGAAATCTGTGAATTCTATTAACTAGTGAATTATTTTTTATTTTTATTTTTTTTTTTACAGAACTTCAGGAATTATTCTTGTTTTTTTATGATTCTTACTTTTTTTTAAGGCACTCCTAGTACATATGACTGTTTACAGTGACTTCATTTATTTGTTTATTCTGGGTTGTAGTGGTTAGATTTTTAATCTTTTTTTTTTCTATACCACATCATTTACTTGGTAATAGAACTGTTAATGATATTGTCCTTTTTATTTTTTGCTAATAAATTCATAAATAAGCCATTTTTTTTGTTATCTATATTTATAAAGCACTTTTATAAATGTAGATTGTTCCAAAGTGGCTTTACAGTGATAATATGAAATTAAAGTAACAGATTGTTTTGGCTTTATGGCAGCTCTTTGCAACGATCATAAGTTATTTACCCTTTTAACACAAAACTCTTAAGTTCTCTCTACACAAACTTTAAAAACGTGTTGTAAGGGCTTTGTTTCCAGAGTGGAGATTGTGTGAAGAGTTTTGTTCTGTGAGTAGTGAGTAGGGTGGTGCGTTGCTGTGGATGCATTGGTGGGTAAGTAGCATGATTGTATAGTCAATCCTGTATGAGATGGGAATCCAGTGGAGAGAGTGAAGGATAGGAGAGATATGGTCAGATTTTTTACAGGGTTTTTTTTTACATTTTGTGGAAAAACTGCACTATTGCATACAGAAAGGCCATAAAGATGAGTAGATCTTCTTATTTTTGATCCTCTTGGAAGGTAATAAGCATTAGAATCAATAAAGCTAGGAAAATGACTACATGTGAGCTTAAAGCTAAGCGTTGTCACGCGTTTTTTAGGCCCAAACATTTTTTGTCATATACAGCAAACATCTTCTCACTATCCATTAGCTGCCTGTCCCCTAAACACACTGTAAAAAAACGCGGTTTATGCAGACAACCCAGGCACCACAAAGGCCGGCTCCCCCTATAATGACAACAAAACCAAACTGTGGCAACCCTCTTCCTCGAAACATAACTAACTGTTCCAGCCAATAACTGACAAGAAGGCCCAGTCAGTGCAGATGAGGAGGAGGGAGGGTCTATCTAGCCTCTGTTTTGTTTGAAAATACTTTAAACGTCAACAAGAAGTCACGTCACCCGACATTGCTTAGAGCACCTTTAAATGTTCGATACGCTCTATATAAACTATATAAACTAACTTCACAAATTTTACTTGATTTACTTGACTAAAATTTTATAAATTTTACTGATTTTTTTTTTCATATTTTAGTTGTCATGTCCTTTTTAGTTTCATAGACATATATATATACACACACACACACATACATAATTTTGCTGTGTAAATTTGTTTAAATTCTTATTTATTTTTTCAATCTCATAATATTCTGCAGAGGAGAGAAGTGCTGCTTCTCTCAGAAGTGAATGGCAGTTTCACTGTTCCACAACATGTGATTGGCTGTTCGCTACTGATGTTATTTCAAAACTCAGGATCAAAGCCTGAGTTGACAGAGTAAATTGATTATCAGCATCATAGTTCCAACAAAGCCTGATTGGATTAGTTTGGTTTTGTCAACTGACTACCATCATGGTATTTGGTAGTGTTTTTTATTTATTTATTATTTTATAAATGCATTTTCAGATCTTGATTCATTAAACAAATTTAAAAAGTGAGTTGGTCAGCATTTTTTTTACCCTAAAAAAAAAAGATTGTTGGTTTGATGGTACTATGGTAGTAATCTTATGGTGCTTATGCTCTATCGCATTTCATTGCTTCGGAAAAATACTAAAATGTTCTGTAGTAGGTAGTATCATGATTTGGTGGACATGTTTTGTATTCGTGTATGTATCTTCTAAAAACCATGGAACATGAATTTCAATACTGTATAGAAGCTTATATTACATTTTTGTAATGCATTTTCTAAGTGTAAATATGCACTGGTATAAGCATGTAATGACATGGTATGAGCAAAGTACCATTATACTGTCTGTTACTTCTACTTTGTTTGAAGTACTTATAACCTAACAGATTATTTGATGTCTAATATAAACACATTGTCATGTCTTTCCAATGTTCCAAAGCCTATTCTGTCACTAGAGGACACTGTAACTCTATGAAAGAAAAATAGAAAAAGAAAGCAAGTCTACATTTTCACTGTTACAATGTCATCATGACACTTCCATTTTCTGATTTTTATAACTTACAGAGCTTTTACATATGGAGTTTCCCCTAAAACACCAGATAAACACTGCTCAGAGGAAACTATGGCGAATTCAAACTCCTTTATTGATGTGTTGAATGTGTTTAGAAAGCTGTTGATTGTGCTGATAGACTGACGGTGGTGCATTTTATCTTCAATGCAAATAAGTTGCTGTCTTTGTTTGGTATTTAATTGCTTCGGGAGGTAAACAACACGCTAGAGTGGATGGAGAGAGAGGTGAAGCGTGAATATCAATCTCTCACATCAGTGTCATCAAATTACTTTTACAGAGTTGAAGTGCCCTAATAAGCTACTGGCCCCCAGTGGCCGTCCTCTGATGGCACAGGTCTCTGAGATGTACTAATGGATATCAACATGTGCACTTGGGTCTGAATAATGCATTATTCTGCATATGCAGGGTTGTCACTTACTTAAGCATGGAGATTATGTTTTATGTAGATATTATGTGTCAAAATCATAACTGGGGCGAGTTGCATAAACTGCCAAGACTAGTCTTACAAGTTAGTCATCCAATTTTTTTCTTTAAGACTGTTCATAACTGGTCTAATTTGATACCGAACAGCAAGACTGATTACCCCTAACTAAACTGCTAGTTGGTCAAAATAGTTCTTAAGACACTGTCTTAACATAATAGCTATGTTTATGCAACTGGCCCCTGGTTTCACTGACCATCAGGAATGTATGACCTTATAAAATGTACACTGTGATAAATGCGTGAAAGTTAAGTTGGCATACTATTTTTATTATTATTTCTTGAAAAAAGACAGAAAAGCAGTTTTGTTAAAATATTTGCCAAATCAAAGTCATATGGTGCAACCAACATGCAAAAACATGCATAACCCCCCCCCCCCCATTTATTTTTTATTGTGCTTTATACAATACAGATTGCGTCAAAGCAGCTGTACAGTGATGAACAGGAGGATTCAATGATGCAGTTCAATTATGGTGTAAAACAGCTCTAAAGTAGAAAATAATGTCATTGTTCAGCTGAAGTCAGTTCAGTGTTGATTCAGTCCCATTGTAAAGATTGTCAATTCAGCTCAGTTCAGTTCCCTTTCTTATAGTGTTAATGCAGTCAGATCAATAATATTGTTGAATATTAAATGTTTCCAACTAAGAAACCAATCAAACTATTTAATCCAATAAATCAGGATAAGGATGAGACAAACAACTTAATTTTCATCTTGAATGAATGAATGAGTGGGACATTGTCAACCCACAGCTCCGAGATTAACAAGCACATTTCCAGCAGAATAGAACAGGCACAGGCCAGATCACAATGCTCCACATAATAGTAGAACAGTCGCTGGAGTGGAATTCCTCCTTGTATATCAACTTTGTCGACCATGAGAAGACGCTTGACATCTTGAATCTAGAGACCCTTTGGATGCTCCAGCAGCACTTGATGTTGGTTAACCTGATTCGAAAATTTTATGATGTAGAGTATTGTAGTCATCCATGGAGGGTAGTTTTCAGGGTGAAAATGTCCATTTGCTCTCCAGAAATCAAACACGACCCTAAAGGTGACAACAAGGAAAACCACGGTGGATTACTTGTCAATTTGCTCACGTAACTAAATCATGTCCTAAGAAGAATCATGTCTTTTCACCGCAAAGCAGGGTAAACAAATTGTGTGGATATAAATTTACAGCTTGATTCATTCATATATTTTAACAATCGCCTACAGTGTGGATTGAGTATAATTTAGATGTATTACTGTTAAAAGAGGCTGGCAACGCAAAAGAAAAAATAACAAATTCTGCTCAGGTGTACATGTGTGCCACATATAATATAGAATATGAGTGTGAAGAGTGAATTTTATAGAAACATGTTAAACAAAATATTTAGATGCTTCACAACAACTTTTGTTTCAGTTAGTGTTTAGTTAGTAAGATAGTGTTCCCTTTAGTGTTTAAAATCCCTTAATTGGCAAATATTATCCATTGAGATTTAGGACATAATTTCAAGTCTCTTCAGTTCTCTTTCGTCCTGGGAACTCCAACGTGTCGTCGGGGAGTTCCCTGATGAATTGAGATGACACATCTCCGTTCCCTGTACTCAGGGAACGAGGGTTACATACGTAACCGAGACGTTTTCTGACTCAATGATGCTGAGATCAGATCTCTGTGTGGACTATATCTTCTGTTGTAGGACTCCTTGTCCATACAAAATTCTCACCGGATTAGAGTGGTCAGAGAATTATTTTTTTTTAATTTTTTTTTTACCTTAAAATATTTAAAGACTTTTATCCAAATTCTTCTTATTATTATTCACCTTCTTCTTCACAGTAAAAATGAATATGCTATATCTAATTACAGTTTTTTTTCGATTGCTAAATGACAGTGAGTACAACTGGAGCTAAATGTGCAAAACTCTAACTACAGTCTGCACTACGAATAGTCACCTGAGCACAACTCTTAACACATGGCTCAAAACAGGCTCAGTGTGCACAATACTATGCACAAGCCTCACTGAGATAACACACACTGTCTCTCAGAACACACTGAGAGGAAAAACACTAGCATCAAACACCAATACAGAAAATACAAACTTTTCATCTTTACAGTTTCAACAATTTATGTGACTTCATACAAAGTAATATTTTCTTCAAAGAAAAGAGTGACATTCTTTCATTTGATATATTTACATTTTTAGAACATAACAATTGAAAATTAGCAGTTTGCTTCAATAGTCTGTAGTAGCGATTACAGTAATGAGAAAAAAGGTAGAAACTAAAAGTACATACTGTAATACTCTGCCTCTCTCAAGCATCAGGCCACAAGTTTTCAGCCGTTTAGCTGAAATAGTTTGAAAATCAGCAGTGTGTGAAAGGCACAAGGCTGAAATTTATTCTGTTTTGAATTTGTGGTTCACAGTTTTGACAGCAGTGTGTTAGCATTTGAAAAAAGTGCTATAAATCCACAGTGCTGTGCAGGTTGTGTTTAAAGTCATGGGATAAGTGTGTAGAGTGTAGAAAACTGTGTTCAAGCAATGAAAAACAAACTAGAGTTTGGTCCGCATGAACTGCTGCTGTGCAGACTGGAGTTAGAGTTTTGCACATGTAGCTCCAGTTGTGCTCCACTGTAGTTTAGCAATTGAAAAAAACTGTAATAGAATTGTGGCAACAGATTACAAGCGATATTATTCATTAATTAATGAGGAATAATTAATCAAAT